ATCACTTTTGGATATTTATTCCACACAATTAACACTATTTGATGTTGCTTTTCGAGCGTTAGTAAATAGAAATGTCCGTTGTTTTTATTGATAAAATTTTCCTATAGTTTAAAATTTTTTTTAGAATGTCAATTGTCAATCTACAAATCGATAATTAATCAAAATAAATATAATACTTCAATGTCTTGTACAAAATTTAACTGAAGATGCTATATTAACACGATAGAATGATGTTTTATTATCAGTTAATGGAACATGAGATGAAACTTTTAGGGGGTTAGTATTCGAAATGATTTTATTTATAATTTAAAAACTATTATTCTCGTTTTTGTTTTCAGAACTCTTCTTCGTGTTTTACATGGCATAATATTACTAATTTTAACTAATACTCGACAATTATGTGGTCAAATCAATATGTCATTAGTTTCTCTTGTATCCGATTATCTTTATGTACATATCACCCATTAATTTGAAGATAAAACTTTTCTGCAATTCATTAATTACTAATGAGCTAGCGAAAAACATTTGACTTTAAAATTCCTATGCTTATATAAGATCTATGATTTTATTTTAGCTAAACAAATTTCGAACAATTGTAAATGATTTTCATCAATTATGAATTCATGATGAAACTGTACATTGTCTTGAGACATTTTCATTTTTAACTATTTTAAATGAATGTTTTAAATTATTATGATCATTATTTTATATCTCATTATTATTACAATGGACACATATTCTGAATATACTTGATTATACACAAGAAGCATGGTGGTCACCAATATTAACACCATCATCATCAAGAATACATTTATCTAATAAGTGGTCAATTACAATCTCATTGTGATTTAATATGTCATCATGAATTATATATTGAACATTTTACATCAATAACAACACATTATCAATTATTATTATTATTTTTTATTTTATCTTACACATCATACATCAGTTGCAAGCCATTTATTTTTTTCTGTGAAGGAATACATTTAGATGAAAGTGGTCTTCTATTAGTTTTATTAGTTGAACAATTCCTTCCATTACCATTAAATAAACAATTATGACCTAAATATATACCATAAATTTTATAAATATTATCAATAACAATATCAATCGATATTATTAAAGAAGATTTTAATAATCTTAATTGTCATACGAATATAACAAGAAAAATTTATGAACAAATGCTTAAAAATGTAACTTATAAAAACTGATTACTATTTATGATGTCATCGGTATATTTTAGTTTAATTTATCGAAATAAATAAATATATATGTATAATAAAAATTTTAATCCAATTAAAAGAAATGTTTTTTTTTTACATTGACATTGTTTATGTGCTAGTAATAGATGATACTTTTGAATAATTCAAAATTTCGAAAAATATTTTGAAATAGAAAATATGCAGAATTTCAGGTAATACAAATCGTAAAGGAAAGCATTTAAGCTACATTAGTACAATGACGGAATAATTCCTCTCGAATCTTATTGATCAAATTCTCAGTCGTGCTATTTGTACCATTACAATTAAAGAAAACGACGTCTTTCTAATATTATATTTCGAAATAAATTGCATTCGAGAATTTCGATAAACTTTCTATAAGTTTGAACTCGTGAACTCCGAAAACGAATTGGATCTTTTCCACAGCATTAAATTTTTAGGATGATTCTTATAGTAAATGAAAATTGATTTGAGAAAATACGAAACAATATAAATCTGTTCCTTGTTTATTTTCCTAGGATTTTGTATAGTTATATCAAATGAAACAAATTAAAATGACATTGAAACAACACCTAATACAATTTATGAAAAAATTCTTTTATCATGCTCTAATAGTCAACCATATTCAATTGCATTCATAGATTCTATATCAATATATTTTGATAAAATACAAAATCATGTTGAATTAACATGTCAATTTTCAACAGGTGATATACATGATTTATTACGTTTTATAATATTTATATCAGAAATAATTTATATAAATATATTTCAAAAAAAAAAATCATTTCTTAGTTGTGAAACAGATCAAATAATATCATGTTGTACATTATCGAAAATACTATTATCAATAATTGAATATATTTATCAACGACATGGTTTAACTATATCAAATATATTATAATCATATTTAAATTTAATTGAACCAGATAAAAGATCATCTTTATTATTGAACAAAAAAAATTAAATATATATATATATCATATATTTATTGACATGATTTATATTGTATAGTTATATTATTATTTTGTTTACCAATATTTATATATAAAGACAATTTTGGAGTTGGTTGATTATTAAGAATACAATTTCAAGAAATATAGGCTTCATTTTTAGCTTCGATTAATTCACCACAAATCAATCTGATGATGAAAATAAACAAACAACAAATAATTGTAAAAAAAAAGAAGAAACTTTAGAAACAAATGCAACACAATGGTAACAAGATTGAAAAATAAACTAGATTTTATCTGTTTTGTTTTTATCAATATTAGATACAAGTTCAAATAATTTATTTACAAATATTGAATGGTTAGGTACACGTGATTTATTATCCTATGGACAACTTTCATATGATACTATATTAACATCAATCCAAAGTAATAATACATTACCATTATCAGTTGATGTAAATCTCACATATGTTTTAATAATCGACAAATAGAACTCTAAGTTAAAAGAAAGATAAATTCATTGCTAAATTATTAATTTCATCAAAGAGAAAATCTAGTGTTTCTCTGACTTTGATTTGAGATATAATACATGCAAACTATCTTATTTCATAGAAATAAAAGCTTATATCAATAATTTCAAATAAATTCTATCAATCAAAAAATTAGAGTATGAACATTTTCTTTTCTGGCATCCATCTTTAAAAATATATAATTTAGAGTTTATTTGATCGCCTATTTTTTCATCATGGTTTTGATTTAACATTATCATTACAAATTCTAATTGAAATACATGTAATATAAATTAATAGGTTCAATTATATATCTATCTGATTTATTTGTAAATGGTTTGATGAAGATGATTTAATAATATCCTTAATAAGTAATAATTTATGTAAATCTAGTATATTACTTGGACAAACAACAAAAGAATATAATGAATTATATCTACGTTTAATTGAACGTAATAATAAATTAATAACTAAAACTCATGCATATGCATCATGTTTATTCATGAAGCTGATTTAAATTCATATGATATTTGATTATCATTAATTAAAGATGATAATTTAATACAAAAAATTATATCAATTAGTCTTGAAAAACTTTTAATAGTTGGTCAATATCTCAAAAATGATATATAGTGTTAATACTTTCACGTATTTATACATTATTACAACGACCAAATAAAAATACAAAATCCATTAAATAATGAACATGTTAATAAAGAACAAACAATAATTGATAGTTCATCAATAATATCATCATCAGATAATATTCTTATTGAACTTGTTAAAGAATTATATGCACATACAAAACAATCATCAACATTAGCATATGAAGCATTACTTTTATTACGTCCTTTATCATTATTACTTGAACACATTAGTTTTTTTTTCGTGCTTTAATTAATGCCCGTTATTCAGCTAAAGTTAATGAATGGACTTTATTATCAATGACAAATATTGCACAAAGAAAATCACTATGTATGGCTATATGGGGATTAACTTGTCTTATGTTAAGTGCATATCTATCACAGGGTGTGGGTGTGGGTGAAGACAAGACCTATAATGATATCCACACCCACACCATCTTATGAGTAAAATTCTGCCTATGGTTAAATATTCTTCCTAGTTTTCTTTTTAAAAATTATCAAGACTTACACATACAATTAAAATTTATTTGGAAAAGATAAATAGTAAAACATTAATGAAAAACAAAAACTCTTTATTGTAATCCGAAGGAATGACGATCAATACAAAATCAATAAATTTCGCCATGAAATGTCAAAATGAATTTTCATTGATAATATAGTATATCTTTTACTGTTTTTTAGGTTTTTATTGATGTTATCACGTTTCAGTGTTCGTTTTGAAGAATCAGACAATCGTTTATTTCTTATTCCTGATCGAAAATAATATCTGCACGTATATTAAAAGAAAACATGCAAATATCAATTGTATCAACAAAAAACCAAAAAATCTATTTTATTTATTTTAGTTAACGAATATTGAAAATTGACGTTAATTTGAACAAGCATTCATAAATGAATCGAATCTAGAAAAATTATATGCTGATTTACTTGAACACATTCAAAATACGATATATCTTATCATAGTCTTGGTGTGGATGTAGATGTTGTTTGGATATGTTGATGAACCATATACTCTCTCTCTCTGTCATCCATACTCACATCCTCAATAAAGACTAAAAATATCAATTCATAAAATGGAAACATAGCAACAAGAATTGGTCTCTACTATAACAATCATATCTAAATTTTCTAAAACCAATCAGAATAGATTGTCATTTATTTTGTGCTCTAATTTCTGTTTGGCTTATTGATTTATATTTCATATCGTATGTTTTATTATGATTTCAATCATTGATTTAACTAGTAAATAAGGCGATTACATGTATCCATTAAACATATTTTAGCCATTGAAGTTTTAACGGAAACTTTTTTAAACCATGTCGTTAGAGTTTAAGAGAAATTTGCACAAATCTGGATTAAACCTTGCATTTATAACCAGTACTTTTAATAATATCAAGAAGAATATGAGTATAGATGTTGATATTCTGTTTAACCACATCTACAATTTTTGAATTGTTTTGATTTAGTAGATTATATGTAAAAAGCAGCTACCATACTTCATCCTATTGAACTGTTTTCTGAAAATCCATTGAAAATGATAAATTCAAAAAGTCTCGCACTACACAATTGTTTCTTTTTATTCAAATAACAATTCTTTTTTCTTGATTTATTATTCGTACTTTTTATTATTTTGTTATCAATACAAAAAAAATTGAATATTTTGATGTAAAAAGCAATTCATCATTGACAGTATTTAACGATAATTATCAGAAAGGGAATCAAACCAACTTCCACAGGTTCGAGTTCAGTTCGATGCCTGACAAGCGCGGTATTATCCTGTAAAATTATTTTAGATTGTAAATTTCTGAGAATTTTTTTAATGAAAAGCATAAGTTAAAACTCAACAATACAATCATCAAAATGCATGATTTCTGAAAAAATAAATCATAAATAACGAAAATCCAATCATCACTAAAGAATATTCTGTAAGAAAATGATAGCACCATGTTCCTGTTATATTCTAAAGATACTAAAAGGCTTGTAAACACATTCTAGAAGACTTCAAACATATTTAGATTTTATTTTAAATTTATTTCTGGATTATTGGTAAATGTTTATAAATGTAAATTGATCGCTTTGCAAAATATTTCATCGAACATCGTTTGATAATCACATATAACATCACAACTTTACAAAAATGATTATATCTTAGCTAATCATTTTTTTTCATATGCCTATCTATATTTATTCATTTTTTCAAAATTACTAATATATGTTTATGGAAGAAGTCGTTGTTTCAATGAATAGTATGATGTTGAATCCTGTTCTATTTTCATTACTGAAAATAGGAGAGACGATTAGCTTCAAAACTTTTTTTCTCACAATCTACTTTCGTGATATAAATTTTGTGTTCTAACTTATTTAACTTTGCTTCAAATATTTTTTTTGTTGTTGACACAGTAAACTTTGCATACATGTGACGATACAAAATAAAAAAATTTTTTCTCATAAAATTTAATTTAAACAGAAATATATACAATAAGATGTGAGTTTTCGGTTCATCTACAAAGCCATACATTCTATTGTCTAGGAATTCGTTGTATTCTTCACTTTTTCTTCTGAAGAAGTGTTTCTTTTTTTTGATTTTGGGACAATTATCAATTTAATTTGCGTTTTGTTTTAACAAGCAAGTCGTTGCAAATATTCTAGACTAAGAAAATATTTTTCCACAGTTACAGTTTATTATCTGTCTCTTCTGAATAGATCAATCAATCTCATTCACATTTTTCTAGCTAATAATTGTCATTGATATCTACTTTTAAGAATCATCAGGATCATAAACTCGATCATTCAGTTTTATTGTAATATAAGATGACATTCTTTCTCAGAAATTGGCCATCGACGAAATTCAGAAACTCTGAGAGATTATCAGTTAAGTCTTCTAATCTTAAATAAATATATTTCTCCTGAATAATTGAAAATTCAGATAAAATTGGAATTGACTTGTATCGCAAATATTCACTCTGTTCTTTAATAAACCTTAAGAAAATCTTATATTTTGTGTTTGGATATTTGAAATATAAATTTTTCAAAAGTTATTCAAAAGAAAAAGAAAACTTTGCAAGGTCACAATCTTTAAAATGATGATGCTGAAATCTTGTAGAACCCTGGTAGAAGTAGTTAATAGTTATGTCATTGATTGTTTTAAAAACTATGCATTGAAAATAAAAACAAAAAAACATGTCTGTTAACTCCTACTCAAGTATTCGCTAGTCAAAGAAATATTTGAATCATTAGCCTTAATAGTTATTTCCATACAATGTAGTATTTATACGCAAATTTTTTGATTGCTAGTAAATTTATTAATAAAAATCTTGAACAAACTGTTCAAATTCTTCTGAAAAGTCATGATTTCTATAAATTTACTTATGCGCTCATATAAGAAAAGTGTTTTTTCTTAACTACTGTTTCCTCGTACATTGAGATAAGTCCAGTGAGTGATAAAGTTAATTTCGCCAACTGTTGTCTTTTAAAGAAGACTCATGGTTTCACAGACTACGCATGCCTTTTTCTTTTCATATCGAATATAATTGTTGTTGCTCTTTTCAAGGAACTATTGCCTTTAGTCAATTACTTTTTGGTTAAATAAAAACATCAAATTTTGATAGCATTTGATATCAATATTTTCGAAGTAAATCATCAGTTGAGAAGAAAGTTAGGAGATTTACAAAACTTTCACTTTGATCTGCTTATCTATAGATGACTGAATCAATTTGTTTGATCTGCCTCCTCTATTTCTTTTTTCATAGATCATTTAAAGTTCTACAAAAGATATCTTTTTCTCTATCGCATTCATGTAGTTTTTGAACATAATAAAAGCCAATTGAAAATTTTTGACTCTTATCAGTAAAATTAATGGTAATTGATCGAAATATATAATTTATAGAGAAAAAGAAAGAACTTTATCTAATAGGAAGATACTTTGAAATGCATCGATATATTCCACTGCTTTTTGGTATATTATCAATTTTGAGTGAATAATTTTATCTTATATTTTCGAGAAAAATTGTTATTCATAACATCAGTATGTGTTTCACCTCTGCAAATGTTTTATAGGAGACGTATCATTTTAATGGAATAATATTCATTTATCTAGCATCTTCTATTGAATTTTAAAAAGAACACTAAGATAATTTTAATTAAAGCTGCAAAAATCGTCGAAAAATATATCCAAGAAAGTAGGATATGAGACAACAAAATTTCAAAACAGGAAACTTTTCAAACATAAGATTGTTAATATGAATACCTATGGGAATATAAAGAATGTTACAAAATTAAAATCATAATCATCTAATATGATGAATATTATTCCATTAAAACGATAAATTTTGTATTAAATCTATTCAGATAAAAACACATAAAGCTGTTATGAAAAAAATTCTTCTCAATGAAATGTAAGATGAAATTAGTTATTGGAGATAAGCACGATAGGAAAATAACATTGGACTAGATTGATGCATTCTACAAAATTATATATTTCAATCAATGAACAATTTATAAACTCATTGTCTTCTTAGATTAACTTGTCATATATGTTTATCTACATCAAAATGGTAATGAGACAAATGCTTGTAAGGTTTTTTACATCAAACAATCAGCTGTAACTGAGAGTTTCTACACTGAAAAAACTGATTTTGGTGTGGGTGAGTTTGGATGAGGTCAGAAAGAGGAGATTTACCCACACCCCACAAAAAAGCTTGTCAAACTCGTGAGAATGTGTGCGTAGGGCACATCTGAAATTCATTTTTCTTTGACTCTGTGTGGAAGATACAAGAACAAAAATAAATGGTAATTAACAGCTGGTAATTTCTTAATATAGAATCAATGTCCATCTTCATTTATTAATAAGAGATAAATTAGATTTTAAAAAATAACTATGAATATATATGAGGATTATGAAAATGCTGCAGTCAGACGTCTTTTCTACTCGTGCTTAGTTTGAGTGGAGGTCTAGTTTAAATATGTTACTGTTATTGAACAATGAAATGTTGTAATAAGTTTTAACTTTTAAAATACTAATATAAGGATAAATTTGAAATAATATAATTATTTATTGTAAGAATACTTAAAAATAGAATACATTTCAAGTTGTTTATTTTCTGTCAGTTATATGTGAGAAATGAAATAGAACAAGATGATAAAGGGAAAAGGAATTAAAATAGCGTTTGGTATCAAAATGTAACTGGAAATAAATTGATTATTAATAATAAAAAATATCTTTTGGTCAAATATTAGTGTTATTGTTTTTCATGTAGGAGTAATTTTTGTATACATTCTATTGTACAACTAATAAAGAATATTAGTACAATTTAATATCAAACACAGAAGATCTTTTCATCTGATTTAACTTACGAAACAAAATTTAAAAAGTTTTGCTTTATTCATGTTGAAAAGTTCTTATGATCCTTTCACAAAAACAAGTCTAAGTACAAAGAAATAAAGAAATATTAGCAGTTTCATTTTATTATAATCATACAAAAAGTATATAAAGAATGAGTATTTGAACTTTGCAGATCATGCAATTGTTTCTCATAAAGTTGATCATATTCATCTTCGCCATTAATAGTAAGAACAATGACTTGCAAATGAGGAAGTAGCTCGACAATTAAATAGGCAATGTTTACCAAATTTGGTTGTCACAAAACAGGAAAAAGATTGAGTTATCGTAAGCCATTTGACATGAGCATTCTGCACAAAGAAATATTATCGAATAGATAGATTAAATTTTCCTCTTTCAAATAACGTTTAGTATCATATTCTGATCTATAATGCAGCTCCAGAGTACGTAGATTAGTCGTTTGCAAAAAGACAAAGATGAGTTGAATTGAATGGTTGAGTATAATACTAAGTGATTTTATTTGATGCCAAACAACGATAGATGGTGATAAAGAAAGAAATTCATCGTTGATGTGATCATAATAGTCACTGATAACAATCCTATTGCAACGAAACAACTTATCATTGAAGGTATGACCTTGATATGGTCATCGACTTCTTCTAAATTAAACAAAAAAAAAACTTTCTATTTATACCCATGCACAGTTTTATGTAGATAAGAATAGACACATAAATATTCATCGCTTCTTGATACTGTTACAGCTCTAATAGGGTGTATATGTAGGTGTTCAATAAAAAAACGACACTCATACTCACACCCAGCTCTTCTACTCACAACTATCGTTGGTACTGCAGCTGTGAATGACTTATTTGGCTTACTTGTCGTAGACGACGATGTGCCACCAGCATATCGTTTTAAATTTTTCTTGTCCATTTTAATGATATTGAGGATGATAGTGATGGCCTTCTGATTCTTTTTCAATTTGCGTAAATGAATGAAAACATGGATATTTGTTGCACACTTTATGAATCAGCAAAACAAAAACACTTCGTCTATCTTGTGTGTGAGTGAAAGAAATACCAACACACAGGCCTAGATGCAGATTCACACCCACACTCACATCCTGAGTGGGCGTTGAGGTGACTCTCTTCAGTGTCATCTCACCTCCACACCCCATACCCACACCCACACCCCAAAAAGTGCTAATCATTTAGAATTATTTGTTTTTTTTTTGATAAATTACATAAATGGGAAGATATGGCCAATTTACCTGATTCAATTCGATCAGAAATCGATCAAGCGTTGAATATGTTTTTAATATATCATCAATTATATTTGAAAAATATACAAAAATATTTATTGAAATATTCCGTGGAAATCAATATAAAAGAACATCAAATCAAATAAATCCTAAATTAAATGCAAAAAATAAATTAAATAAATGTTCACATTAAGATTTATATTCACTTATATGGACAATATATGCATTAGCTAAAACAATTTATCCATCAACTATCAATGATCTGATTGCTTCATTTCATTTACTTATTTCTAGTTTTTTTCTTTTATTTATGATTATGTCAATTTACTTTTTAAAACTCGTTGAAATTCTTTAAAATAAAAATCTATTTCATAATATGGATTTTTATTTAAAAGTCTTTGAAATAAGATCTGAAACAAATTCAATTTTCGATTGTTCGATATAGAATTAAATTTAATTAAATATTTTATTTCGAGATTTATCAATATATATGATTAAATAAAAATCATTTCAAATATTTTTTTATCGAATATATATATATATCGATAACTTAGAAAAAAAACCTATTTTCTTGTCAATATGATTATTAATCGATAAAAACGTAAATGATCGAATATGATTAACGATTATTTCAAATCATGGTTAAAAATTTAATCGTTTAAACGATATTATAGTGATAACTATGAGCAATCGATTAATAATCATTTATAAATAATATAATTATAAATAAGATTTACAGATAATGATTATATTCATATATAAATATATATTCTTAATATACGATAGAAATACAAGTATCTATTAAATCTTCTGAGAATTTTCATCAATTATATTCATATTAGAAATTATATTTCATCATATTAAACGATTTATTCAATCTATTCTACTTGTTTTTTCTTAATTAAACTATGGAAAATGTTTCGTTGAAAAGATGATAGATTAACTGTAGAGTTTCATAAATCGAATATCTATTGTTCGAGTTGTTTATTATTTTAGAAATCGATATTTGTTGTCAACAAAATCAAACTAATTTGAATTATTCAAAACGAATAAATATATAATAATCGAAATAATTTAATTAAACTAAATCTAATAAATTGAACAAAAAAATATATTAAAAAAAAAAAAGAAAAATGTTGTTTTTTTTGTTAATGTTGTTGTTTAAATGATTTATGTTCAAATGATGGAACCATAATCGATAAATTATGTATGATGTATTGTTGTTCATCGGATATGTGTCGATCAATCATCGAACAACATTTAAAAAATGATTTATTTAAACGTTTTGATAAAAAAAAAGAAGATTTTTTATATGAATTTAATTATTTGGAAACAATTCGTGATATAAATCGTCAATATGATGAAATTGTTTTAACAAATTGTATAATTGATGAAAGAATTTTTTTAGAAAATAAATTTCAATTAAATGACTTATGTAATTCATTAAATGAATATCGATATTCAAAATCTTCTCAAAATCTAACATCATTAACAGCAAATCAACATATTACATAGAATTATTATCAAACAATTTCTTTTAATCAATATTTAACATCCATATCTCAATCTATTCAATTAATTAAATTATTATATTCAATTGTTCAACAACAAACAAAACCAACAAATAATCTTATTTCAATTATTGGACAACAAGCTTTTTTTATCAAATCGAACATAAAATAAATTTGTTTTTCTTTCTCA